TTAACCATAAAGCAAGTGTATAAATTAGGTTAGACTTGGTTAATGTTATGTCAGGTCAGGTTAAGTTTTGGTTAGGTTAAGGTTACGTTTCTGTATTGTAACAAATTGTAACGAAACTTCTGCACTACAGAAACACGTTGTAGTAATGTTCCGATTATAACGTCTTAATAACGATGTGAAATAGGTTAGGTTAGGTTAGGGAGTCTCGTAGTGGCACCAGCTCATGGAGTCTGCATTTTGCGTCTGAAATACTCGAAGCTTTCAATAGAATTAACATATGTATTCACTTCGAGAGAGAGGGAGGAGGAAGAAGAGGAGGAGGAGGAGGAGGAGGAGGAGGAAGGAGAGGAGGAGGAGAGAGGGAGGGAGAAGAGATAAGAGTTTCGGTGTGAATGAAAATTGGATGGAAGGAGAGGGAGAGAGAGAGGGGGGGTGGGGGGAGACATCTTACCACGGTGCATCTGGTTGGCGCTTTAAGGATGTGACTCTTTTGATGGAGGGAGGAAGGGGGGGATTACTTGTCTCGTTAATATATCGGGAATCTTACATAGCGTGACATGTATAGAGAATTACTGTATCCTTACGGTTTCATTGTATAATTCATGATCAATTAAATCTTGTATTTAGTTTTATTTTGTATTATTTCATCAGTATGTTAAGAGTTGAAAAGCTTTTCTTAGTGAGGTTCGATGGTTTGGAGCTTCACAGGGCTTCGAGCATGTGTCTCCGAGCTAATATAAAGCTTACACCACGGGGAAGAAACAAGAGAGTGAGGGGCGGATGACGGTGGTTTTGTTGTGATGTGGTGTACCTGAGTCCTCCGCCCTCAGCCCTGTTTGTGCTGCTGAGGAGACGCGGCCGAGGAATGAACGACTAGTGTGTACAACTCAAGGTGATGTGCTGGTGTGTGAAGCTGTTGTGTGTAGAGGATCGCTGCCGTGTTGAGGGGAGGACACCGCGGCTGACGACCAGCGGCAGCCATTACACCCGGGTCCAAGCTATGTACCAGACCATTTACCTTTATTAAGTTTTATTAGGAAAGCGTTGATGTATTTCATTATTTAAACTATATTGGAATATTATTCAGCTGATATCGACTCACAAACCTAAATCGTATGTCAGTTTTTGTGGGATAATTACCCAACAGGCGAGTAACAATGACCACAGTAGCTGGTTAGCTTAGGTTCTTTCGTTACATTTCCCACTGCTTCTAGGTCCTGCCCACCAAGGTCAAGGTTATTGGGGTAGGAAGGGTCATTATGCACTCAAACTGCCGTTACTGTTAATCATTTATCACTCCGAATCGACGTTTTTATTTTTTTTTTCAATAAAAATCGCCAAGTTGATGATATTTTCGAGAAATTTTCGTTTATTTTTTATCTTTTGTTTAACTATTTACGTATTTACTACGTCTGCTTTATATAGTGACATCCACAATCCACTACTCGTACCGTTGGTACGCCTGATCCACCCCACCCCCCACCCCACCCCTCGCACGTCACCTCACGCGGTGAAGGTCACCAAAACATCCCGGGGAGAACTCGGGGAAATTTTCCGTCTTCTCTCCTATTTTATACCTGGCGGCGACACTTCCCCTACCCCGGCCCTCCCCACCCTTCCCCGGGCCTCCCCATCCCTACCTCGGGCCCTCTCCACCCTGCTCCGGGCCCTCCCCACCTCTACCCTGGACCCTCTCCACCTCTACCCTGGGCCCCGGGCCCTCAGAAGACTCTGAGTTGAGGTCATCGGGGATCGTCCTCCACAGTACCAAAGGTGTGTGTCAGCTTGATAGCTACAAGGCTGGTTACAGTTCGTGCTTGTAACCTCAGTTGGCAAAACACTGTGTCCATGGAGAAATTTCAACGCCTCACCGTCCTTACCGCAATATTCAACGTGAAATCTTACAATGGCTTCGAAGTTATCAACTTCACAGTCATTGCACAAGGGAGACATCTTGGAAATAAAGTCAAATGCAAGGGGGTCGTGGCGAGGGGGGGGGGGGCTATACTGAGCTGTGATTGGTTGATCCAAAATCAAACCCACCAATTAACATGTCAGTTTCTTCCAAAGAACAACTGCGCATGTGTCAGACTCTAGCCCATGCGTAATTCAGCCTAATCACCAACAGACGAACAAGCAGGAACTCTCCGGGATTCTCCGTGAAAGAATTTATGGGCGGAAGAAACGCTACAGCAGAAGTGTCATCGTATCTCAACTACTGATTCAAAACTTGGAATCCTAAAAGTCGGTGAATGACCGAAACGATAATAAGACACTTTAGCAAGACACAATACGTATTTTCACCCCCTTGATCCTTCTCTTCACCCCAGTCGTTTTGGTCGTCTCTCTCCTCACTCCCCAGTCGTTTTGGTCGTCTCTCTCCTCACTCCCCAGTCGTTGTGGTTCTCTGTCGTTTTGGTAGCGTCTCTCTCCTCCTCCCCAGTCGTTTTGGTCGTCTCTCCTCACTCCCCAGTCGTTGTGGTAGCGTCTCTCTCCTCACTCCCCCAGTCGTTGTGGTAGCGTCTCTCTCCTCACTCCCCAGTCGTTTTGGTCGTCTCTCTCCTCACTCCCCAGTCGTTGTGGTCGTCTCTCTCCTCACTCCCCAGTCGTTTTGGTCGTCTCTCTCCTCACTCCCCAGTCGTTGTGGTAGCGTCTCTCTCCTCACTCCCCAGTCGTTGTGGTCGTCTCTCTCCTCACTCCCCAGTCGTTGTGGTAGCGTCTCTCTCCTCACTCCCCAGTCGTTGTGGTAGCGTCTCTAAACTAAAAAGGATTATATTCACCTTCCACCACCTCAGACTCTTTCAGTATTCTGGTAAGACCTGACGAGTTAAGCTAAGATTTCCCTTTTCCGACAACCACAGCATAAACAACACTCCCACAACATATTAAGGAACATCAGAGGTAAATAAGTATATACCTTAAAGCTCCTAAAAACTGAAGTTATAGAGTAAACAGGAATATTCATGGTGTTTATTTTTAATTGTGAATCGTACGTCTGACAGTTCATCTTGGAGGAAAATAATGACTTGTGAATGGCGGAATAATAATAATAAAAATAAACGGTTTATTAATAGAGTTGCAGCCGGTGGCTGAAAATATACAAACTTACGTGTGTCTTAGACATAATGATATGCGTTGAATACATTTACAGGGCTGTACAGTACATAAATCAGGAGCTGTTTATTATTTTAACAATAGATGGGATGGTGCTGTTCTTATATCTATCGGTGCGGGCTCTTATGGGCTGAATTTTGTTGTAGTGGCGGACTGCGCATGATGGGCGGGGGACTACAGGTGACAGTAGGTGGTCCCCCGAGGGTGGTGCAGTAGTCCACTGCCAAACCCTGCTAGTGCGTGGTGGTGATCACTGAGGGATGACATTTCCAGGGTGGAGAGAGCGTTGTGTGTGTGTGTGTTTGTGTGTGTGTGTGAGTGTATGTGTGTGTGTGTGTTTGTGTGTGTGTGTGTGTGTATAATAATAATAATAATAATAATAATAATAATTAACGGTTTATTGAAAGAGCTTGGCAGCCAGAAGGCTGAAAATATACAGTTACATATTTGGGGAATGGGTTTCGAATTACAAATAATATACAAGTAACATAAGTGACACAAATAAGACATAATAACTAGATGGGGAAAAGCACGGGCATTTTCAACATAGTGACAGTGCAAGAAGTAGTATTTACTGGGAGTGAATACACTGGTTTATTACAAGTTATCGATAATTTTTACAATGGTTGGGACTGGGCTGTTCTTATAGCGATCAGTTCGTGCACGTATGGGCTGGATGCGGTTGTGGTGTCGAACAGCAATTCTCGGGCTAGGGATCTCAGGTGGTAGTAGGAGCCGGTGTCGAGGATGGTGTAGAAGCTTCTTACCAAATTTGCAGATATGTGTGTGTGTGTGTGTGTGTGGCGTCAGAGGATGTTAGTTATCCTGTTGTGATATTTTCGGTTTATTTTTACTCTCTCTCTCTCTCTCTCTCTCTCTCTCTCTCTCTCTCTCTCTCGTCCTTGTGCTTTGTGTTTACTTTGGGCTGTGAACTCTTCTCCTCCTCCTACATCTCCCTTTCCTCCTCCTTCGTCTCCTGTTTTTCCTCTTCCTCCTCCTTCGTCTCCTCCTCCTTCTCCTCCTCCTCCTCCGTCTCCTCCTCCTCCTTCGTCTCCTCCTTCTCCTCCTCCTTCGTCTCCTCCTCCTCCTCCACAGCTGAGTGACCAAACTTGTTTCATTTACTTGTTTTGGACGTGTCTGTCACTCACCTGGGGGGGGGGATGGGTGGGGTAGAGAGGGGGATGAGTGGGATAGTGGGAGCGGTAGGGGTGGGGTAGGGTAGAGGGAGGGGAGGGGTGGGGTAGGGAGGGGGCGGTGAGTGGGTTTCACATCAAATGGACCCTCGATATAACGGACTTTTCTTCCAAATAGTCCGCTAAATAGAGGTTTCACTTAACCGAACCTCGATATAATGGACCTTCCTCTCTAGATATCATAAACATTGTACTCGTGGCTTAGAGAAATATATTTGATTCTTTCTCAATAAAAACCCCCACAAATTTAGATTAAGTTTATTGGAAGAAGGAATTAGTTTTGTTCAGGTGAGAAATGATGATGAAGGAATTGATGCTTGGTAGAGTAATGGCTGCGGTGTTGGTCTGTGACTCGACTGGTGTAAGGTTCTGTGTCGTTAGGTTTTGTTTGGTTAGGTTAGATTCGTTTGATAGGAGCTTCACATCTAACAGACCTTTCGATATAACGGACTTTCTATATATCGTCCGTTAAACAGAGGCTTCACTGTATCGTGGGTGTGTGGTGTTGGGTGATAGTGTCCAGAAGGGCAGGACCCGCCTATCAAATTATGTGACCATATGGTGTGTGTGTGTGTGTGTGTGTGTGTGTGTGTGTGTGTGTGTGTGTGGCTATATACGAATGCATAAAACCAAATAATAAAAAAATATCATAATTCCCTAAAAGCTCCAATTTTCTCACCATTTTCCCTAAAGAAAGTTCTCAGACGGTGGAAAATTCTCGTTCTCTGAAGGCTCTGACGGGGGAAAATATCTACCATAGAGGAATAAATGTCTCACTGCTATCATCATCTCCCTCTTACCCGGAAGTGAGAGATAATACGATAAATGAGAAGCAGTACTCAGGAATATGGTCAATTAGATAAGAATCATTGATATAATCTTCCGTTTTGTTATCGATATATGGTATATTTTTACGTATATACACGAAATATATCAACATTGTCCTGGTGACGCAGATGTGATACTAATTCCATCTTGGACACTTCCCTCGGGGGCTTAAGGCATACAGGAGTGAGTGAGTGAGAGGTACCCGTGAGAGAGGTGCCTGCTAATTGGGTAGTGGGAGGCGGTAAGGAGATTATCAAGTCTTGGTCGTCATGGTAACGTGGGATGCTGTAGAAGGAGGAGGAGGAGGAGGAGGAGGAGGAGGAGGAGGACATAAGAACCTAAGAACATAAGAGAATAAGGAGTCTGCAATAGGCCGGTTGGCCTGTGCATGGCAGCTCCTGTCGAGAGTTACTACCACTCTCTATCATCCATGAATCTATCTAGCCTCCTTTGAAACTTTCCAGAGTTCCCGCACTTACTACAAAGTTGCTAAGCTTGTTCCACTCGTCCACCACCCTATTTGTGAACCAGTTTCTTCCTATCTCCCTCCTAAACCTAAACTTATCCAACTTGAATCCGTTGCTCCGAGTCCTATGCTGCTCGGATATTATAAGAAAGAGGAAGAGGAGGAGGGAGGTACAGTGTCACAATTACTGAAGCAATACACCATGCAGCTCCTCCTCCCCCCCCTCCTCCTACCTGGTGACCCGAGTCGAGGCATAAACACCACCTCACCCTTACAGCTCAAGGTCATATGAGCCCCAGTTCTAATGGGCCTTAGTTCTAATGGGCCCCAGTTCTAATGGGCCTTAGTCCTAATGGGCCTTAGTTCTAATAGGCCCCTAGTCCTAATAGGCCCCTAGTGCTAATGGGCCCTAGTTCTAATGGGCCCCAGTTCTAATGGGCCCTTGTCCTAATGGGCTCTAGTCCTAATGGTCCTCAGTTCTAATGGGCCCTAGTCCTAATGGTCCGCAGTTCTAATGGGCCCCAGTTCTAATGGGCCCTAGTCCTAATGGGCCCTAGTCGTAATGGGCCCAAATTCTAATGGTTCCTAGTCCTAACGGGCCCTAGTCCTAATGGTCCTCAGTCCTAATGGGCCCTAGTCCTAATGGTCCTCAGTCCTAATGGGCCCTAGTCCTAATGGTCCTCAGTTCTAATGGGCCCTAATCCTCAATGGGCCCTAGTCCTACGGGCCCAAATTCTAATGGTTCCTAGTCCTAACGGGTAGTCTAATGGTCCTCTCAGGTTCTATGGGCCCTTGTCCCAATGGTCCAGTCCCTTCCACCCCATTCTAATGGCCCTGTGTCCCCAGTTCTATGGTTGTCCTATGGTCCTCAGTTCTAATGGGTTCTAATGGGCCCTTTGTCCTAATGGTCCTCAGTTCTAATGGGCCCTAGTCCTAATGGTCCTCAGTTCTAATGGGCCCCTTGTCCTAATGGTCTCTTAGTCCTAATGGGCCCCGGTTCATTCCCTTTAACCTCCACCAGTAGAATGAACACACACACACGCACACACACACGCACACACACACACATCTCTGATAATTACGACCTCTTAAGTGACCTCCAGGTGTTGCGATCATGTCCTCTCTCTCTCTCTCTCTCTCTCTCTCTCTCTCTCTCTTACTATGCCTCCTCACGTGTTGACTCTGCCAACTTTGCAGTTTCACGAGCAAATTAGATGCCAGGAGAGAGAAGAGGGAGGGGGGGAGGGGGACCAGGAGGTAGAAGGGGGAGGGTGAGGGGGAGGTAGAAGGGGTAGAAATGAGGGAGGAGTTTGAAGGAGGGGAAGGGGGAGACGAGAGGCCAGGGAGAAGGGGAACGTAAGAAGCCTGGGGTAGGGAGGAGGTGAAAGGGGTGAGGGAGGGAAGCCTTGCCCCCTTCTCTCCTCCTTCCCCTCCCCTCCTCACCCCCTCCTCTCCTCACCCCCCACCTTAAGCTACCAAGTTGGGCGGTAAAAACTCCTGGTTGAGTGAGACAAACAATATATGACACTGGGAACACCTCCTCCTCTTCCTCCTACTCTTATCTTCCTCCTCCTCTTCACCTTCCTCCTCCTCCTCATCTTCCTCCTCCTCGTCCTTCCCTCCTTCCTTCTCTTCCTCCTCTACCCCTCTCTCTTTTTCCTCTCTTTTCTCCTCCTCTACATCTCCCTCTCTCCACCCCCCTTTCCCCCTCTCTTTCTTTTCCTGCCCTCCCTCGTTCCCCCTCTCTTTCTCTTCCTTCCCTCTCTCTTTCCCCTCTCTTTCTCTTCCTTCCCTCTCCCTTTCCCCTCTCTTTCTCCCCCTTCCTCCCCCACCTCCCTGACTGGCAATAGTTCAGTAAGACGATCATAATTCAGTTAATATGTTGATGCGTTGTGGTTACTGAGTCGAATTGGCTGGCCTCTCTGTGGGACCTCTGAGTAGACCGACGGAAGAGAGGGAGAGAGGGAGGGAGGGAAGTAGGGAGAGAAAGGTGTAAAGGATGGAGTCAGTGAGGTAGGGAGGGAGGGAAGTAGAGAATAATGAGGAAGGAGAAACTGAAGAAGGAAAGGAAAGAGAGGAATAGAGGAGAGTTGGAGGGAGGACAGATGGAGGAGAAGGGATAACTCTCTCTCTCTCCAGCACCAGTCCCTCACCAAACCAGTTTCTTTAGTCAATTTTCACTGCTTGTGGCCGACAGGTGTTGTCATCACTCCGTGGCACGCGAGTCACGGGGTCGAATCTCAAGTGCCCGGCGTGTGAGGATGGCTTTAGTGATCAAATGGGTCCTAATGTCCTAATGGGCCCAAAGTCTTAATGGACCCCAAGTTATGTTACGTTAGGTAAGATCAGGTTAGGTTATGATATATTAGATAAAGAAACATTAGATCAAATTTGGTTTGTTGAGGTTAAGTTAGGTTAAAATAGTATACGTTAACATAGATTAGGTTAAGCTGGCATAGTTAATTAGGTTAAGTTAAGTCAAGTTAGATTAGCTCAAGGGTGCACCTAAATTTGCTGACTTAGACAAAAAAAATACAATCAAACCAACACTGCATTTAAAAGTCTGCCTCAGCAAGCTACGTTAACTTAACACCATATACGAGGCAAAACTAACGCAAAACATCTTTCCAAAACGCATTAAAACGAATATAAATGAAAAAATATAAATTAGATCAGTCTACCCCATTAGTATGTGTTAGTATGAGAGAAAATGAAAGCTTTATGGTAAACTAGTGTATTTGGTAAGACAAGTCATTTCCGTAAATCAACCGTAATTGGAATCGATTTTCTGCATTGAAATCTCGACTTATTGGTAGGTTAAGCTTTTTTATGTTAAGGAGATGTTAGGTTATATCAGCTTAAGTTATTTTAAGTTAGGTTCTGGAGATTAGCGAGACCCTATAAGGAGGGGAGGTTACATTTGGTTAGGTTACGGTAGGTTAAGTTAGGTTTAGTTCCCAACACCTCTCGCCACTGACCGACCGATTAGTGACCGAATATTTATTTTTCAAAGCCCAGAAATAAATTACCTTGGGAAAATTGGAGATATTTGTGTGTGTGTGTGTGTGTGTGTGAAAGAGAGAGAGAGAGTATATTATTTCTATACCACACTGTTTAAACACCGAGACAAATCGAAGGTTTAACTTAAAATAAAATAAAAACAATACCAAACTGCAAATATTTTCTTTAATAAATAAATAAATAAATACACATAAAAAACTATATCGTCACAGCGTAGTCATAACGAAAGAAAACAGCGGAACAAGTTTACGAAATCGAACGAAAACAAATCAAGGTTCCCACTTGGCTTGCGGAAAATTTTTGTACACCTGAAATTCCTTGCACCTGATTTTCCTTATTATCGTGAAACTCTCACTAGGCAACCGCTGTGGGTGGAGTTGCCAGTGGATTAGTAGCAAGGTGATGGTGATCTGAGTTCCTGCGTCAATAAACCGCCTTTCCTTTCCTTGTTCCGTGTTACTCAAGTCTTCCTGCGTCAATATACCAATAGTTTCCTACTTCCGTGTTACTTAAGTGTTTCATCGTCAGTATCAATCAATTAATCCAGGTGATATCATTAATTAATTCAGGTAAATTAAATTAATCCAGGTAAATATCATTAATTAATCCAGGTAACTATCATTAATTAATCCAGGTAACTATCATTAATTAATCCAGGGTAATATTATTAATTAATCCAGGTAAATATCATTAATTAATTAAGGTAAATATAATTAATTAATCTAGGTAAACAACATCACACCTGAGGGTTGGCGACCACAGTCCACTACTCTTAAGAAATATTCCTGAGAGCTTTCAATTTAATTTCATCTTCCTTGTCTGTGTGTTCACTCAGTCTTCAGTCTCTGTCTTCACCTGGTTCTCCTGCCTTCACTTGTATCCCAGAGAACTTTCAATTTTATTCAATCATCCCAATCTCTGTCTTTCTTCCCCCGTCTCTTCTGCCTCCATTTTCATCCACTATTACCTACATATCTTTCTATTCTTCCATTAATCTATACAGTTTCAGTATTTTTCTCATTATTTCAGTGATTCATAGTTTTTTTATTGGTTTGTTTATCAGTGTAATTTTTTTTTCTTTTTTCTTTCAGGCATCATGTCTTCAAGTGGTAGCGTCCACTCTGTGTTCACGTTTCTCGTTCGATTTAACAGTTGTGTTTTTTTCTCGATTTAATTTTTATTATTACATTAGTTTATGTAGTAATAACTCATTTTCTTTCTCCTTTTCTATTAATTTATTGGCCATTTCCTTAAAGTTACTTCAATCTTTGTAATAACAACATAGTATGTCTAGCAAATGGTCTAATATGACTCTACCATTAGCTTTTATTTTCTTTATCACAACCTTGTCTCACCATTAAGTTGTAAGTTCATTATTTACTAAGACTTTTTCTTTATGACTCTTATTATTTCCTTCGTTATTGTCTATTTTCCCCAAGACATTTGTGGTTTGTTTAAGGATTCACCTGTAGATTAGCCACCCCAGCTTATTTCACCTGATTATTAAACACCCTAACGTTACCTGGGGGGTTAGGTTAGGTGAGGGTGAGTGACAAGAGTTCAATATTACTATAAAATAGTTTGATTTATTCAACATAACAGAAATACACACATAAATGGCTTAAGATATTGTTACGAGTTGGGGATTTAGAATATAGTTAAAGGTCTACCCAGATCCCAACAGGTAACAACAACAAAAAAACAGACAATCAGACTATAAAAGGGTAGACAAATGATGCGAGTTTTTGTTGTGTATAATAAAGTATCATAAATTCCTTAACAAAATATTCAGCTTTCTATAATTTACCCTTAACCATACTTAACCTAAACATTAACAGTATATACATATTTATACAACATACAATAATTTGAAGAAAGGTGGAGGCGGGGAGGCAATATAAGATTACAAATACCTAAGTGTGGAGCTGAGATGGCTGACGAGTAAGGCTGAGTATTGAAGAAGACGGTAGGTAGTCACTGTGCCGTAGGTTTCCAGGATAGGTGATCTTGTGGTCACTTCCCAGAGTAAACTGAACTCTCATCGAACTGGAGTTGACGAAGAAGACGCAACAACCAGGATATGGAGAAGGGAAACCCCGGAGTGGTAACTAAGACGAGTCATACTCGTGTCTCGTCCCTAGATGGCGTTGCTCGTGGTGCTGGGTAGGTAGATCAGGCCAATAGATGGCGTGGTTCGTAGTGCTGGGTAGGTAGATCAGGCCAATAGATGGCGTGGTTCGTAGTGCTGGGTAGGTAGATCAGGCCAATAGATGGCGTGGTTTCGTAGTGCTGGGTAGGTAGATCAAGACAATAGATGGCGTGGTTCGTAGTGCTGGGTAGGTAGATCAGGCCAATAGATGGCGTGGTTCGTAGTGCTGGGTAGGTAGATCAGGCCAATAGATGGCGTGGTTCGTAACAATATATATATATATATATATATATATATATTGATAAAATCACACGGGAAAATGGAAACAACATATTTACATGATATATATATATATATATATATATATATATATATATATATATATATATATATATATATATATATATATATATATATATATATATATATATATATATATATAGAGAGAGAGAGAGAGAGAGAGAGAGAGAGAGAGAGAGAGAGAGAGAGAGATGAGTTAACATGTATAGAAACTACCTTAACATATTCCAATAGGTAAGAGTGTCTCTTATTTGAGTCATTTCCAAGTTTAGAGAGATACTAGGAATATTATCTCTTATATCTCGTATTTTGAAACTATAGTGACGAGAAATTTAATTGATATGAGACGTAAAGTTGGGGAATGCCATTTACAAGACTTGGGGGTCGATCGTCAATACTAACTTAAACTAGAAAAACAAAACAGCATCATACTATAAACATTGTACACTCTTGACGTCACATTCCATTACTGACGCACTTAAGAGAGGAATACACAGTCATCGAAAAAGAGAGCCCAGATCTTGATATATATATTCAATAAAAATATGAGCAGACTTTTTTCAAGGCCTCGATATACAGGTACATTGCATTCGGTAAATATCGTCATAAATTTCTTCATATAAAGAATATTACCAGATATTACAGTTTAACACATTCTTAATATATTCTTAATTACAAACGTCCCGAATAGAGAGCTGAAGAGAAATGCCCAATTGATATGACTTTTTGTATTTTGACATCACAAAATAATAATAATAATAATAATAATAATAATAATAATAATAATAATAATAATGATAATAATAATAATAATAATAATAATAATAATAATATAAATAATAATAATATAAATAATAATATAAATAATAATAATAGATTTGACAGACACACTGTAAAATAAAAGACTTGAAAATACACCTGACCTGACCTGACTTGACCTGACCTGTCCTGAACGAAGCAGATTATTTGAACCTCGAAGAGTGTAGATGATATTTTCAACCCCTGACACCCTCCAGCTGACAGTAGCTCCTGACACACCCCAGCTGACAGTAACTCTTGACACACTCCAGCTGACAGTAACTCTTGACACCATGCAGATAAATGTCAGAAGGTGTTGATACCCTGCAACTGGGTATCAGGAAGCGCTGACACCCCCAAAGGTGAACGTCAGAAGAAAGCAGCTGACATTAGGTTGTCTGACGCTCCTGTATAAAGCAAGAATAACCTTCTCGCTTCTTCTTCCTGTTCTTGTTGTTCTTGTTCCATTTGTATTTGTTTTTGTTCTTTTTGTGTTCCTTTACTTCTTGTTCAAATTATTTTGTTCTTGTTTTACTGGGTCTACTTGTTCTTGTTCTACTTGTTCTGCATCTACTTGTTCTTGTTCTATTTGTTCCTGTTCCACTTGTTCTACGTCTACTTGTTCTACTTGTTCTTGTTCTACTTGTTCTGCATCTACTTGTTCTTGTTCTACTTGTTCTTGTTCTACTTGTTCTTGTTCTACTTGCTCCTGTTCCACTTGTTCTACTTCTACTTATTCCACTTGTTCTTATTCTACTTGTTCTACTTCTCCTGGTTCTTGTTCTTCTTGTTCTTGTTCTACTTGTTCTGCATCTACTTGTTCTTGTTCTTCTTGTTCTATTTGTAATTATTTATATCCTTGTTTATATTTTTCTTGTTATTGTAATTGCTCTTTGGTATGAACACCTGAGGATCATCTGTTCTTATTTGTTCTTTGTTCGCCCCATTTTCTTGCGTTCTTCATTCACGAAGATTCCACTTGTTCATTGTTCATCACGTTCTTCTGTGATCTTTATTGTTCACCACGTTCTTGTGTTCTTCATTGT